GGCGAGGCCTCCGCGCCGCCGCTGCCGGGGCGGCGGCGCGTGCTCCGCGCCGCCGCTCTCCAGCGCGCGTCTCTGCGTTCTTCCCCCGCCGCAGGAGACGGCTGGACTACGTGAACCATGCACGGAGGCTGGCGGAGGACGACTGGGCGGGTGTGGAGAGCGGAGAGGAGGAGGAGGAGCGGGAGGAGGGCGCGGGCGCGGAGGAGATGGACGTGGATGTGCCCAGGAGGCTGCCCAAGCGCTACGCCAACCAGGTGAGGAGCTGCCCGCGGRTGTCGGGACACTGGGCATGGGCCACTGCGTGCTGAAGCAAGAGCTGCATCACCCTCGTAGCACCCAGAAGCCAAGTCTGAATCCTCCTGCTTTGTTCTTGAGCTGTGAGTTCTCCATGACTTCAGGAGAACTGTTATTAATTGCCTTTTTTTTTTTTTTTTCCTTTTTCTTTCTCCTTCCTCTCCTCACGTGTTTCTCAGCTGATGCTGTCGGAGTGGCTGGTCGATGTCCCCGTGGATCTGGAGCAAGAGTGGGTGGTGGTGGTGTGTCCCGTAGGAAAAAGGGCGCTAGTGGTGGCCTCCAAGGTAAGTGACACCAGTGGTGAGGTCTCACCAGCCAGAGGTGGATCTGAATCTGTCTTTCATACCATCATTGTGCCAGGAAACCAAAGGCTGGCCGGTGTGTTTTGCCTGCTCTGTGCTGTGGGAGCTGCGTGGGGCCAAAACTCCTTGAAGTGAAATAATTTGGGAGCTGGGAGAGATGAGAGCATCAGTTCTGCTGTCCCCTGATGGGCTGCATGGAGCTTGTGCTAATGGAGAGCTACATTTCGGAGCCCCGGGTGCCAAACCGGCATGAGTGCAGGGAGACCYGCCTTGACTTTTCCCGCTCCTGTTTCCTTGCAGGGCTCAACAGCAGCCTATACCAAGAGTGGCTTCTGTGTCAACAGGTTCCCGTCCCTGCTGCCAGGGGGGAACAGGCACAACTCGCTGAATGACAAAGGTAACGCCGAGGCTTTTGAAATAGGTGGAAGAGTCCAGCCTGCCTCTCTGYGCATGTGTGTCTGCCTGCCAGCGTGCCAGGCTTGGTGCTTGTGCCCTTTCCTGGTGCTAGTGGCTTTATGCATGCTAGTGAATCTGTGGGGATAACTAGACATGGACAATCACACGGACAACCCCCGTGCTGCACAAGAACAACTTTTATCAGTTGCTTGGCTTGCAGATGCTCTCAAACCTCAACATCTCCCTCTTGACTCCCAGAAAGCTGTGTACAGCGTCTTTGTAGTGACACCCTGGTGTTATCAAGCTCAAGGATGTAGCTGTTCCTCTCCAGAAAGAGGATGTTTAATATCCCATGCAGTTGCATTACTTGTCCTGAGGAGGGATTATCAATGGATAGGTGACCTGCTCTGAAAAGTGCCTTCAGCTGAAGCTCTTGACCTTGCTGGGTGCCTAAAGCTGAGCTTTTGGTGGGCATAACTTCTGTTCAGCCCAAAGGAGCCTCCCAGCATGTCTCAGGCTTTCACCAGTGTCAGGGATTAATGCAGGAGAGACTTGATCTAGCAATTGCTGGTGGCTTTGGTAGGATGTGGAGCATGTGTGGACTCCCTGTGTCTGTGTGTGCAGTTTACAGCATCTTGGACTGCATCTACAACGAGGCAAAGCAGACGTACTATATCCTCGATGTGATGTGCTGGAGGGGACACCCTGTTTATGACTGCCAGGTACTGACCCCCTCCCACGTGCCCTGGCCTTGGTCGGTGAGCTAGATGCAGCCCATCATGCAGTAGGATGGATCTTCAGTGTAAATGCTGGCCTCTTTGCAGCGTTTGGGCCAGTGGTTACTAGAACAGCCGGGCAAATCCTTTGGGGATGCCAGGGGAGGTAACAGAGCTTGGGATGCTGGTTGGTTCTGCAGGGTGCCCGTGCCAGGTACTAAAAGTCTGCAAGAGCCACAGTAGCACAAGTGTGGATTGGGGGTGTGTGGTGGCCGCTCACTAAGTCTCTCTCCTTCCCTAGACTGACTTCAGATTCTTCTGGCTCCTTTCCAAGATCCAAGAGGAGGAAGGGCTAGGAGAGAAAAGCAGGATTAATCCAGTAAGTTTTTGTTCTGAGTGTGGGGTAAGCTCTTCTGTTCAGCTGGCTTCAGCACCTTTGTTCACAAGGGGAAGTGTTTTTCGGTCTTGCAGGTCAGCCCTAGAACTGTGCTTGTGCTGAAATAGGATACCCTGTTCAGGATGTGAATAGGAGCACTGAACACTGTGAATGAGATGTGGTGGAGCTCTTTTTTKSYTTKKTTTTTTTTACCAGCCAAAGTGCTGAGGGGGATCAGAGTGGAGGGTATCAGCTAACTTTCGTGCTGTTTTTAGCTTCCCCTTGAAGAGGAATGGAAAACCAGTCTGGCTTGTGCAGACAACCTTGGTGGGCAGCCTGACTATGATGGGAATTATCTTCTGGGAGTCTCCTGGGCTCCCAAAGAAGAGCTAAAGGATCACAAAACTTTAGCCTTCCTTCCTGCTTAAAACCAATCATTGACTTAATAGAGATGGATGTCAAATTTCTTGATCTCTGTGTGGCCGTGCTGTGCGTGCAGGCACAACGAAACAGAGCAAATGTTGTTAAGCAGATGGGCTATTAAGGGAACAAATGCTGCAGTGCTAGCAGCGAAGCTATCAGCAGTTGGAGAACATCCTGTTTTGACTCCAAGAGGAATGGCCAGAAGACGAGTACCTAATAAAGGGGAGTCGTTTTGGCTCTCTTTTCCTGGGTGGGAAGGTTTGTGCTGCTGAGCCGGCAGCCGAGTGCAGACATCTGTCTGCTTTACATCCTGCCCAGAGGTCACTGCTTTCTATTTCGGTTAAGGGAGCGTCTTGGGGTCAGCTCCCTTGGAAAGGCCTTCCTGCAGCCTGCAGTGTGAGAAGGAGATGGGAGCCAGGTCCCTGTCACCTGCCTCTCTTAAATGCCAAAAAGTATCAGGGTTGGGGGGCAGTTGTAACTAGCATGGCATAGACACAAAGTACTTGAAATGGGTCGTTCTAGGGCATTAGATCTCGAGCTGTCTGGATGTTGGCAATCTCTGGGTCTTTCTTTAAAGATCCGCTTCCGTTACTGAAATGAGATTTCTCAAACTGCTCTGCTGAGTGATATGCATGTTCTATGCAGTATTCCCAGAGAGCTGGCATGGGTGGTCTCCACAGGTTGTTCCTACCCCTCGGATATTGAGGCTGACTTTTATTTTGTGGGTTTTCACAAGGTGGTTCTTGTTTAGTGGGATAGGCCTGTCACAGCTGCACACCTCAGTCCTGTCATTTTTTGCCTGCAGACCCCGGGGTTGCTTAGGAGTTGCTCTGTAGAATCGCATCAAAGATTTGTGTGTCCCCATAACCAGCCTCTGTGATTACTATGAGATGCTATGGAAAAAGTAAAGGTTGGGGATCCCAGTTGCTTCCGAGCCAGTGGTTGTACTGGGAGCATGGTGTCAGTCACTACCAAGGTCCCTGCTTTAGAACTGGCCTTCTTTTTTAACCTTATTTGTGCTTTTGGACCCCTGATGTCCTGTGGCTGGACAGTCAGCACTTTTACCATGAGATCCCCATCTTCATCCAAAGCCCAGCGTGTCTTCTTCATGCCAGGCCTCACGCTGAGACAAACACTTCTTCCTTAGCCACCTCCACGCTGATGCTTGTCAGTGAATTGTTATGGTTTTGGTTGTGGAATTGTCTCTTCTAACCCTCTGCTACTCTTTCAGTTCAAGTTTGTGGGTCTGCAGAATTTCCCCTGCACATCAGAGAGCCTCTGTAAGGTGCTGGCTACGGACTACCCATTCGAGGTGAGAACCTGCAGCTTTGGGGCTAGAGCTCGGGTTGGAGACAGCCCCACTGTGTGCCTGCCAGTGCTTAAAGGGAGGTGCATCTCAGTTACTTCATCTGTCTGTATGCGACATGGTTGCACCGTATAGCTGTCTTTCCCCTCGCAGGAGGGGTATTGGATTCATCCTGGATTCTGAGGGGTTTCAGGTTTTAGTGATAGACGTGTGGAACATACTGGATCTGGGAGCAGTGGTCACCGCAGCAGTGGCTGGAATGGACTCAAACAGGTCTGTCTGGTGGCTGCCACTGGATGTGGCGCAGATGACGGTGCAAAATCTCCCTGTGCTTCAGTGCAGAACCAACAGCTTCCTGCCTTTCGCTCAGGCTGTTTCTGGCTCAGAGATGGTCATTCCTGCAGCGATAGTGACTGAACGAGACACATCCATTTGCTGTCAGCTTTAGGAGCAAGAACTCTTCAGCGATCCATGCAGAAGATGGGCTGGCCAGGGAACTAGCTGTGCCCCCCACTTCAGCTATGTGTGGTTGTGAGCAGCAAGTCAGAGGCCTTAATGAAAACAGCTGGGGCTGCTTTTGATGGTGGCTCTGGGTGACTTGGCACTGAAGTGGAAGAGGATGACGGAAGCAGTGACATTCCAGCCGAATGGCAGTGACAAACATCTGGGAGCCAGAAGCTTTTCCAGCTGCTGCAGCACTTCCTGCAGAGTGCCCAGTTTCAGCCATAAATCGGGAACAGCCTTTATGAAGGTCGCTGGTCTTGTTAAGCCAAAAGCCACCTGGATATCAAGGTGTCTCTTGGGCTCTCATATAGCCTATGTGAGAGATCATTGTAAATCGGGTTTAAACCTTAGTGATGCTATTTTGACTGTAAGGACTGGGTATGCCTCCTGTCTCATAAAGCAGAGAGAGAGTCATCAAGAAAAGTTAGTCTCAGCCTCTTGCTGATGTTGCCAGATCATGCTCTGACCCCAGAACGGAGCGTACAGGTTTGTTGAGAAGGTATTTGGGATTTTCTTCTAACCGTGTCTGTAAGAAGGGTCATTCCTGAAGGAAGCTTGTTCCTTCCTGAGGCATCTGCTCCCGTGAGGAAAGGCTGAGGAGTATTATCCCAGTGTGGTCAGAGTGGAAATGTCTCAGCTTGCTAAGGGAGGTGGTTGCGAAATGCCCAAGGAGGAAGATGGAGTCAGGCAAACTCCGCCTGTAACACAGCTGTGATTTGCCCCTGCATTGTTTTCCAGTCAGTATGTCAAGATGCGATGCTGTCAAGTGACACGTGGTGTTTCCTAGGGCTGCAGGCTTGAAGATGGCCTCGGAGGCTCATGGTGTTGTGTTTCCAGAGCTAGATTGAACCATGGGTCTCATTTTAAGGTGCCACAAGAGGGAGCCCAAGAAATGATCATATGGGGCCTGAAAGAAGGAAGCTTTGCAAGAGGCAAAATATCAACTTGTTTTACARTATAATATTAATCTTTTTGACAGGCCCCAGCAACTTGTGATGAATTCCGCTAACTAAATTTGTGAAAATTTAGTGTACTCATTCAGCACGGAGTGACCCATTGCTGTTCGGCCTAATGGAAGATCTTGTGGGTATGATGGCAACTGATCTGTCAGGATTTTCAAATTTGAGTCTCCAGAGTTAATCTTTAACCTTAGAGTTAGGACCTGATCCATCATCAGCTCTTTTTAGTGGCAGACTTTTCCACACAGTTGAGTGGACTTTGGGTCAGTTGACTGGCATTGAGTTTTAAGGGGGTTTTGGAGTGGATCTTAAGAGTTACTGACCTTCTCAAATACCTAAAATAACGTTCAARTGTTCTTGGAAGCTCATGAAGCCAAAGCTTCAGAGAAGCTGCACTATCAAGGAATGGGAATATCTTTAAGCATCTAAAATCTGAAAAGCAGAGTCAGGAGCGCGAATCCTGCCGAGCAGATTTCTCACTGAGTCCAGCTGTAAGAGACAGTATCAGCTTTTATTGTGACGTGGCTAGTGCCAGTACCGTGACTCAGGGCGAGGACACAGCAAGCAAATTAAATAAACTGGAAGGAATATTGGAGCTGCAGTAGCTTAAGGGAAATCATGAGAAGRAAGGACATGACCCAGCTCTTCACCAGGCTGAATGCCATTGACTTTCCCAGCTTGCAGAAAGTGATTGGAGAGACTGTAGAAGGTAGAAGCTTGTCCAGGCTTTGCTACTGAGACTGCTGTGAGTGCTGGGGAATTCCTCTTGCTCACCCAGTGTTGTGCACCAGCTGGAATGCGTTGGATTTGCAAGCCCTGGACAGGGTGACAGTTTGGCAAGGGGGCAAAGCAGAATCTGGCCTTCTCCAAGCCTTGCAGGGAGGCACTGGGAAGCTTTATTCTTCAGATATCCAGGGGGCTACATGTTACACAAGCTCCTGATGTTTACTGTTCTGGTTTCATGTTTTCCTAGGACAGGAATCCCCCTTTTTCGGGGATTATTTTGCAAGAAGTTAACAGTGACGAAAAGCCCTATCCGCTCTGCTGGAGTTGAGCATCTCCTTAGCAAAAATGGACTTGAGTCTTCCTGTTGCTCAGCCTGGTTCACAGCCCAGCACTGCAACAAAAAAAAACCAACTTGATCTGCAGTTCAAGCTGATGCACTCACTCCCTCCTCAGTGAATATATAAGTGCCGACCTGCTGTGTGTCTTGTGCCTGGGAGGCTGTGCTGGAAGGAGCACCCCCTTGGATGTCACAAGCAAGATCCAGACTTGTGGAGCACCCCCATGGGAAGCACAGGAAGAGAGAGCTGAAAATCCTTTAGTGCAAAGGGGAAATGGGAAAAACATCAGCCTGCTGYAGCAGGGTGGAAATAAGACCACAAGAGTTAGGGGCTGAACCTTCTCCGGCCTGAGTGCCCTTAACTGTCATTGATTGCTGGGGAAGTTCTCTCTTGGGAAGCATTAAGAATTTATTTTGCATAAGCAAGCTGAAAGAGCTGCAGCAGTGTTAAGGATCGGGGCTTCTTGGCATCATACTCTCTGGCTAATTACTTTCCAAATGTATTATTTAGAATAATCTTAATCCACTAAAATGGTCTTTGTGTGCTGCCTTATTCAGAAACCCGATGGCTTTTCTGAAGAATGGGATCAGAGCAGCCAGGCAGGAAATGCTGGTGCTGTCCTCCTGAAAGCGCTTGCTTCCTGTGTGCTAGAGCCACCCCGCAGCCGTTGGGCTACGACAGAATTTGTGCTGGTTTGAGGGTGGGAACTGGGAACTGTGCAGGTTTCTGCTCTCCTCCATATTGTGCTGCTTGAGGGAAAAACACTCCAGCCGGTAGAGTGGCCCACGAGCAAAAAGCGGTGCCATCATTTGGTCACCTGCAAAAGGCCCCAGCTCTGGTCCTTTATTCGCTGCCTCTTTCCTTTGTGCAGGTCGACGGGCTCCTTTTCTATCACAAGCAAACCCACTACACGCCGGGCAGCACCCCGCTCGTGGGCTGGCTCCGGCCCTACATGCTCCCCGACATCCTGGGGCTCACCGTGCCTCCCACCCTGCTCACCGCCAAGCCGGACTACGCTGGGCACCAGCTCCAGCAGATCATGGAGCACAAGAGGAGCAAAGAGCTGGCAGCAGGGAAGAGTCACCCAGGTGCCCAGGAGGCCGCGAGGAACGGGCAGTACGAGCTGGAGCACTTGTCCACCCCGCAACCGGCAAACTCTCTTGAGGGCCGTGATGAAGCCGGGAGCCGGATGGAGAATTAGGGTATTTTAACAGCCCGCCTGGGTAAGGAGAGGGTGAGGAGTTGCCTGGTGTCCCCACTGTCACTTGTGCTCCCCAAACAGGGGGAACAAGGGAGTTATTGGATGGCTTTGTTTAAAGGGCCTGAAAGTGGAATATTTTAGTTTGTTCTCTGTTTTATTTTGTTAGGATGCTCACTTTGGTGAGGGGCTTCAACAGGATTGTCTGGCTCTTTGCTAAGGCGGTTGCCCCTTGTGGGGAGGAATAACCTGTCCAAAGTGCAGGGTTCCTGATTTAGCTTCTGCCCCTGCTGCTGTTAGAGTTTGTGGTGAATCTCCAGCCCAGGAACAGTGCTTGGGCCTTGCAGATGCAGAGCCTGCTTCTCACCCAAGCACCTCATATGGACACTCCTCCCCAGGCCAGGAAGCTTGGGGCATTCCAGCCTTCGGTCCAGCTGTTTACATGGAAGCCTTCTCARTGAAACTTTTGTGGTCAGTCTGCTTCTAGTAACAGACTATTTTTTTTCCTCTTTCCACACCCCCGCATTCCCAAGAAACCCCATTTCCTCACGCTAGAAGTGTCCCCTGCCTCCAAGTGCAGCTTCGTGCAGGATGGCTGCACAGCTCCCTTCTCTGGCCTTTTTGGGGGGGTTGGAGAAAGGAACAAGCTCGCTGTTGGTGTTAGCATCGATGGTGCCAAATAAAAGGTTTCTCAGAAGTTGGAAGTCTTCGAGCATCTTCCTGCTGCCTTAGGCTCCATCCCCGCTTTCTTGCGAATACGGATTGAAAATGGGTTTTAGCACTAATAGATGCTAACAGRCAGAAGAAATGTTTGTTCAGGTTTGATTGCTATCGTGGTTTCAGGCCTTATCTGTTGTGCAATCTCTTTATCCTGGCCCAGGCTCCCTCTACAACCAGCCAGTCTGCATTTCCCCATCTCAGTTTTATCACAGATGAAGCCCCTGCATTTGCTCTTCCCAGAGTCCCTTCCTGCTCCAGAGGTGACAGAGGAGATGAARGAGGGTCTGGAAGTAACCATTTCCATGGAAAAGCCTCCCCTTGGCTCYAGGAGGAAGGCCCCGGACCAGGTAGCGATTCCAAGAGCAGCAGAGGCCACACATCCGGAGCCAGGGGCACTTAGATTCCACTCTCTCTCACCCGTTTTTCCCAGAAAAGCCCCGTTTCTTTGCCAAGCGTGCGGGCTGCGCGCTCCTCCGCCTCACCAGCCGCTCCTGATTATAGCAGCGGGCAAGGGCGACTGTCACAAGCGGCGCGCGCCGGCCGCGGTGCCGCCTGCGCTCGCTGTGGCTGTCCTCGTGTCCCATCCAGCGCTACTCCAACACCCGGCCGGCGTCTGCTCCCGCGGCGGCACTTTCCCACCCGCTCCCGGCGAGGCCGCACAGCTCCCCCCTTTTCAAAAGCATGAGCTGGCTTGGGGGAATAGATGTTCGCGCTGGGAGCCGCGCGGGGAAGGGGAGCGGGTGTTTGGCGGGAGGGGGCAGCGGGAGGCAGGCGCGGGGCCCGTGCCGCGGCTCCCCCGCGGGGAGGCGGCCCG